TTGACCGATGAGCTCGACGTCAACCGGAACATATGCCAGCAGATTGTGGACCGGTTAGAGCTGAGGGAGCAACAGGTCTTGGACCTTCTCCAGCGCGTTCGACGAGCTGAAGAACTTCTCAAGGACCTGGTTCCAGAGCAGGAGGGACAGGAGACGGTGGAGGCGGGGCCAGAACTGGCCCTTGTGGCAGAAATTGAAGGACTGGACGTGCCGGCATCAGCACCCACTGTTGACCGAGCACCCGGACCGGCATTTGAGGGTGCACCGGCCATGCAGGAAGACACACCGGCCCCTGTAAGAGTTGAGCTGGTATCGACACCGGCAATTACTCTCGAGGATGATCTGCCGGTGCCGGCACCACTGCCACCAGCCAACCCGGTGTCGCGCACCAATACTGATTGGTAGCGTGAGAAGAAAGCTTAAAAGTCGCCATCATGAAAATAAGCGGACTTTGAATTTGCTTACCTATTTTGGAAGCGGCCCTGAATCGCGTTCCTGGTCAACAAAACCATTCGTTCAACGATAACATCCTCATCGCTCATCATATCCTCAATGTCTTCCACTATGTTGTCTATCATTTACACTATCGACATGCTCCTTAACATCTACCATCCGTTTGTCCCTTGGCTAGTGATACAACAAAGCGATCAATCTACTATTCGCATCGGTCATCGGCTCGCGTTTGATCGCATCTATGGCCCATCATTTCAAGAACGGCCCGTTTATGGATGCATCAGCTACATCTCCCATTATGTCAAAGGCTTTGTCATCGTTGTTGTGGCTATGGACCCACAAGTCTTCGCTTCAGCTATCTATCTTGCCATACCTCGCTTCTGGATCTCACTCAGTCCCCTATCCTCACTCATCTACCTCTTATCTTATCATTCACTGCCAAAACCATCATTCACGCGGTACCTGAAGCCTTCCCACCCTCTTTATGACAATTTAGGAAGTCCAGGAGGATCACGACTAAGCAGGAATTGCAGATGAATCAGCAGCAGAGGATTATTCTCGCAGAGTGTCAAGTGTTATCAAGGCTGCGCGACATGGGACCATGGGCAAGTAGTGTTTTCTCGGGAACAAGGCTGCGCCTTTCAAGTGTTGACTCAGGACCTTTCACATTTTTGACATGACCACACGCCTATGGAGTTGATATATTTTTGCTATTGGACTATGTACACTGCCTTCTTTTCTTTTCTCTCGCACTTTGACACTTTACAGATTTTTTTATTGTTCCTTCTTCTTTTCCATTGTTCTTTTCTTCTCGCAGCTGTCCTCTCTTTATCTTTCTTCCTTTGACAGCGTGTACTTTGTTTCTTTTTATTGTTTTACATAGCCTCATCCTTAGGGTATAAATACTGCTCTTTTGTACCAGGATAGGGAGTTCATCTCAATTCATTCTTACCCCCCCACTTTCATCATCTCAGTGGAATTCCAGTGAATTCCTCCCTTAAGTTCGCTTTTCTTGCCCCTTACTGTCAATCTATACCCTATCCCTCAACCGCTATAGTCTTACTGAAGACTCTCTCTTACCCATCCTCATCCTCGTCTTATACCTCATTCATCTTCCAAGACCTTCATCCTCCTCCTTCTCTTCTCTATTCTTTCCCCTTACCTCTGTGTGTTAAAAGTCAAGGTTATACCTTCCCTAAACGAACAACAGGGAGTCTCTTGACCTAAGGTCTGGTCCACTGCTCTCTGGTTGGTGTTTATATACAACAACAACAACAATTTATAGCGCGCCAAGGGTGTCGTTGTGGGTACAGTCGTTGTAGACATTGTAAAGGGTTAAGCTGCCATGGGTACCATTGAATCTCACTGCTGTGATATCTGCATTTGGGATGTCTAGCTGTGTGTATGAGTCAGTGGAGATATTAGTATTAATCATAAGTATAGAATGGGTGTGAGAAACCCTGTCTAGGAGGTGGTCAGTAGGGTATAGGATACGCCAGTAGGTAGAACCTCTGGCGTTTTTGAAGAGATCCAGCCAGGGCTCCTGGATTGCTATTACGTCCCAGTCTTCGGGTGAGGCTGAGTTGAGTATGTATTGTTGGGCGAATCTGGACTTGTGGGTATTCTGTTGCCAGATACGGAGTTGACTTGGTGTTTTGGAGGGGCGTCTATTCATTGAGAGGGTGGGGGGGATAGGGAGTGTCTTTGTTGGGACTGGGATCCTGGGCGGTTGGGAATAATGAAGTGGTCGAGGTTAGCTTGACGTCGTGGAGGGGGTGGGAAGTCTTGGGAGAGGTTTGGGCATTGGGGCAGGGCATGGTCGATGCGGGGTCTGTGGATTGGGGGTATGGTGGAGAGTTTTGGAGGGGCTGTGGCCCAGGTCCAACATTCACCAGTAGGGAAGTAGGGCATGCTGTTCTCGGGGTATCTGGCGTCGATGGCCGCACACTTGCTGTTGAACACAGGGCAGCTGCGGGAGTAGCTGGGGTGGGTCGAGCCCAGACCGCAAGAGTGGCATCGAGCTGGCTGATTGGGAGGGCAATTGATGGTGGTATGGCCGTTGCTGGCGCAGTGGGCACAGACCTCCGTACCATGGCAGCTTGCTTGTATATGACCATGTTCCTGGCATTTGTTGCAACGGATCGGCTCCTTGAGGTCTTTACGAACAGTTATGGCTTGGCCTTCGATGAAGACCTTCTTGCAGAGGAGGTGATTGGCGCTTTCTGGAGAGGCGCAGGCTATCTTCAGGGATGCTACTTTCTGGTTGGGGGAACGACGGTCAGATTGTTTGATCCAGGAGGCTGAGAGAATGGAGCCGGGGGGTAGGTTGTTGTTGGATTCAATGTCTGTTAAAAGGTTAGCATTTTCAGGGTCAAAATTGCCTGTACAGGGAACAAATTTAAAAATGAGATTGTAACTCTTGGGTTTAATCAAGGCAGAGGGCCCAAGGCTGGAGGCCAGAAAGTAGGCATGATCCTTGGAATAGGATCTGAAACGGTCAGCAGATTCAGCAGAGTCAAGGTCAAAAAGGAAAGCTCCTCGTTCCAGGATTTGGATACCACATATGAATGTTTTGGGCCTGGCTGTGTCGTCCAGATCCCAGGAGGGCTGTTCGATCTCGTCGATATCTGCGAGGCTGTTGTTCATGGCCTCTCTAAGCTTCTTAATTGCTTCAGGCGAACGGTCCTTTGGGGAGGAAGGGTCGGTAGGGTCACTCTGGACTAGTACGGAACGGGCGGCAAGGAGAAGCCTTTGCTGAAGGCGAGTGGTGGCATCTGAGGCATGCAAATTGTGTGATTTGGAGGGGAGGGATGGCAAGGAGGGTTGGAGGCTTGGGAGCGAGGGCCAAGGGGTATTAGTGGGTACAGCGGTTGGACTTAGGGTGGAGAGCTTGGCAACAATGCCCGATAAGCTTTCTACAGCTGCATCGTTCTTGGTGGCAGCCTCCTTAAGGCCTAGGGTGGTGCTGGCTTGTTGAATGGAGCTGGCCTCAAGGAAGGTTTGGGTGGCCGAAAGCTCCGAGACGATTGAGGTTAGTTCGGATTTTACCTTAGTCGCTACAGCAGAAGCGAGTATGGAAGAGACATTGTCGGAGATGTCGTCTTCCAGGATGAAGGCGGCTGCTCTGATGGCGTTGGCTGCTTTGGGGGGTATTTTCGGGAGGAGAGATGTTGTTAGGAGAATTTTGACCATCTTGGCGTGGTCATAATCTTCTCCGGCCAGGACCCAGCCCTTCGTCTCTAACCATTTACGGGCATCTATACTGTCAGTAACGGGCCCTGGATTACCGGTGATCAAAGCATTGATGTCCGAACGCGTAGCTAGTCCTTTTTGAGAGCCTGCTGGGGTCCCATCGCGCTGGGATGCGCTGGCAAAATTTCTCGAGGACCTACCCTTGTCTTTGTCCTTGTCCATGATGGTCAGTGGTGGGGGGGGGCGTGGAAAAGAGAGCCAAGTGAAAGGCGAGTATGGAGGGTAGATAGGAAGGAAGATAAGGTGGAGGATAAAAGTTTAGTTACGATGGATAAGAGAAGGGAGAAATTAGGAGAGAATTAGTTAGCTTAGTGGCGACAAGAACCAGGACCCCGGAAGGGAAGATGGTGGTAAGGAGTCAAGAAGCGTCCCTGGGGGGTATTTAAGTACTAATATGGACATAATGGAGATATGTAAATAAAGAAAGAAATGGCATGATAAATAAAGATAATAAAAATGGTGTCATGTGAAAATAAATAAAATAATAAATACACAAAGTTGGAGTCAGGTCTAGATTCAGAAGTTGAATTGGGAGTTGGTTCAGGGGTTGGTTCGGGAGTTGGTTCAGGATCAGGCCCAATTGGGAGTTGGGGGTTGGGGAATAAACTGGGTGTCCCCTAACAGATTCCATATGGATCAAGGTATATCCATTAGTGTTTGAAGGTTAGGTTAGTTAACTGGGAAATAACCAAGACTAACCGGACCTAACTGCAAAACTAACCTAACTGCAGTTAGGGTTAGTCAATTTTGAAAATAAAATAACTGGTTATAACTACCCCTATTTTACCCCTTCAAAATGTGCCTAAGAACATCAATAACACTCAATATTTGACTGAGTTATTGTCAAATCTCTAAATATTAGTCAAAATTGTAGATTTTTAAGATTATTTTCATAAATATGTCAATTCTTCACCAAATTAAGTGTTCCTTGGCTTGTTTTAAAGCTAAAATAAGTGGAAATAATATTTATTGAGACATATACCGACATATTTGCCTTTTTTTTGCTGAATTTCAATTTTCCGGTCCTAACTGGTTAGTAACTGCAAATAACCAACTATAACTGGTTAGTTGTGGTCCAGTTAGGTTATTTTTAGTTCTGGGATGAAAGCTAACTAATCTCGGTATTGGTTAGAGCCCCTGGGCACCAAAAACCGGACCGGACCGGACTTTTGAACACTAATATCCATTTCATCTGGACTCCATCATCATTTCATATGGATTCCATGCTAAAATTCCATGGACTAGACACATGGATTCCATTTGGATTCTATGGACTAGATCCATAAAAATAAATTTGACATCTGTAGGAATTGAACCCTCAACCTCAGTAATAATATCCAGCACTCGAACCTACTGAGCCACACTGGCTTTGTTATACAAAAAAATAAAATCTAATTAACCCATCACAGCAAGGGTGTTAGGGCAACTGTGGTACTGACTTAGTCAGACTAGCAGGGGATCCAAAGTTAATAATATTTGTAAGTATTAGGTTACATCAACTCACCTAGCAGGGGATCCAAAGAGGAAAGGATAGGGATCCCTGCTAGGATAGTGGGCTATTTAAGTACTAAGATGGACATAACAGAGATATGTAAATAAAATTTAATAAATAAAGAAATGGTGTGATAATAAAGATAATAAAAATGGTGTCATGTGAAGATAAAATAAAATAATAAAATAAGAAGTCGAAATTGGATTGGGAGTTGGACCGGGACTGATTGTGATTTGGAAGTTGAATTGGTTGGCTTAGGTTTGGGTCAGTTTTGTAGATGAGGTGGAATGTACCAAGCCATGGTTGGGTCTTGATTCTGGAGTAGAATCGGGAGATGGTTTGAAGTCGAGAGTGGAGTCAGGTTCGGGCCCAACTGGGATTTGGTGCTTCAGTTGAAAACTGGGTGTCCCCTAACAAAGGGCTTGTGACATACCCTTTCTATCCATTGATGTTTTTGCCCTTTGCCCCCATCACCACCATCATTGTCACTGTCACCATCACCACTGCTATCACCTCCCACCATCACCACCACAATTTTAACCAATCACAGTGGCCACATATGCACCAGATCCAGCTGCAAATATGGCCCCTCAAACACTGATGAGCAGGTGGAGTTCTTTACTCTCCCCCACCTAATCCACACAGAGTCCATGCAGAGTCTGAGCAGTCTGTGTGGACTGTCCAAGCAATTTTTTGGCAGAGGGACCAGCTGTACCTTACACTCCCCCACCTAATCCACATGGACTCCACACAGAATCTGCATAGAGTCCAAGTAAGGTCCAAATAGAGTGCTAGGAGTCCAAGTGAAGTCTGAGCTGGCTGCTGCTGTCTGAGTGAAGTCCAAGCTACAGTGAATTTCTGGCTGTTCAAACAAAAATTTCTAGTAAAGTCCAAGTAAAGTCTGAGCAATGTCTGAGTAGTCCAAGCAAAAAAAAAAAAAGTTTCTAAGTCCTATTCCTGTATTAGTCCAAGTGAAGTCCAAGTGAAGTCCAAGCAAAGTCTGAGTGAAGTCTGAGTGAATTTTGTATGATTCTGAGCAATGTTTTCATAAATACCAGAATTTTTACTTATTTCTTAGGTATATAGAAACTTAGCCAAGTAGGCATGGAACTATTAATTATATTTATTACTAACTTAGCATTCATTTATAAATAGAATAAAATATATCAAAATAAATAAATAACATGCCCTGTCATCTAACTGGTAAAACAAGTTAATATCAGTATTAACATCAACCTTAGTTAATATTTCATTCAATTTTCCTCAACAGGAAATACCATTACTATATTACTACAAAATTATATTGATTATATCAATTACTTACTTATAATTGATTTACCAAAAAAAAAAAAAGGGGGGTTGCCTTGGTTCAGTTTATGTGGTAAAATAAACTACAAAGGATTAATACTTAAGGAATTAAATAACAAACCCCTTTGGAGAATAACCAGCCAAATTTCCATTCCTAGTCTGAGCTTAGTCCATGCAGAGTCCAAGTGGACTCCTAGCAGAGTGCTAGGACTAGTCCAAGCTCAGTCTGTGTGGAGTCCGAGTTTAGTCCACTTGGACTCCACTCAGACTAGGAACAGAAATTTAGCTGGTCCTTCTGCCAAAAGGATTGCTCAGACAGTCTGCACAGACTGCTTGGACTCCATGTGGACTACTCAGACTCTGTGTGGATTAGGTGGGGGGGAGTAAAGAACTCACATATTTGGGTTTAGCATTTCCATAGACAGTACCATAGGTAGAGTGGGCATCTCCTTGGTAGATATAGATGTTGTTTATAAGGCTACTTTATTGTGTGTCTACTCTATATTGATGCTATCCCAAGACCTTGAGACCATATTTCCAGCTTGTTGTGAGCATGGGAAAATATGCATCAGGAAAAACACTTTGGCTCTAAGAGTCTCTCAGAGCAACCTCAAAAATTTAAGTGTACAAATCACTAAAAAAATGCATTTGAAACATATTTATTTTTTTGAGGTTGGTCTGAGAGACTCCCAGAGTAGCTAGAGTGTCTTAGAGCTAAAGTGTTTTTCCTGATGCTATCCAATGTCGGGAAACCTAAACGTGCTTTGTAAGCATCACACTTTAATCACGCTTCCTGATAAGGATGTGGTTGGAAATATAAACTTGCCCTGGGACAAGCATTTCATGTATTTTAGACATTTAAACTGCATAATATATAAGGATCACTCAATCTTCTGAAAACTCCAAACGTCGGGGTAAAAAACAGCTGGGAACACAATTCGGCCATTGTTCTAAGGGTAACTTTCACATCACAAGGCCTTAACAGGACCATAATGCCGGAAAGGCAACCGTGACCAAATTGTGACAAAGGCTGAATTGTCACAATTTGGTCACAGTTGCCTTTTCAGCATTATGGCCCTGTTAAGGGGATGAACAATCCCTGATATGGCCACAGACATGTCACGTCACGTCACATTCCCAAAAGCGTGACAAATGTTGAGACACATGTTTCTCACTCAGTTTTTCATAGATTACCATGATTTTTTTTGCAAAATATACATACTACATCATGTTCAGAGTATGTGAGATCTCAAAAATGTCAAAAAAATAAGGTTTTTTACACTGTCAGAGTGAAACTAAGTATGCTACTCAGACTCTGTCTCCCAACTCCTCTCATCATCATCATTATCAACCCCCTCTATCCTACCTTCACTACCAAAGTCAAATTCTTCTCCTGAACTACTGCCTTCAGTTTCTAAATCTTGTGCAATGACCCATTCCTTTGTATTATAGAGATCCACAGCCTCTGAAAGTCCTTTCCTGATGTCAGCAACCAAGGTATTTTGTTTCATTCCTTTCAGGTTTGGAGCTCCAGCAGCTTGGTAAACCTTCAACTGATCTTTTAGAGCTTGACCTTTAAGTGCAACAACCTTTTCTTTGTCTAGTATGAGGCCAGTTCCTGCTATACGTGCTGCATTCTCAGTGACTTTTTGTTTGCTATTCACCAATTTTGATGCACATTTTGCCTCCTGAAATTGTACCTGTTCCTTTCTCCACTTCTTCTCTTCACCACCTGACTCCTGTGCTAGCTTATGGAGAAATGCATAATCCTCAGCCTCTGTGAACTTCTCCTTCATAAATGCTGCAGTGTCATTTTGGAAAAACATAGCCAGTGCATTGTGACTGAGCAATGTTAGTTGTGGTTGCCGACGCATCAGAACATGAAATGATCCCAGAGCACCTTCATTGACATCATTAGTTGATGGCATCCATGCACGTTCCTTCTCCTCTGCTGTTGCTTCATCAATTAGGCCTCCTGGAGCAAATTCCGAAATGAAGCGCTCCCATGTTTCCTTTCCACCAACCAAAAAGGCCACCAATAAGTCTCTCAGGAGTGGTAGTTCTGGCATCATTTCCATAATGGCAGCCATAACCTTTGGATTTTGCCATTCTTCCCCATCTAGAGATCCTGTTATATGTGTTGCATCAGAACCAATGAGTAGGTCTGGGTTATCAATGAGATCCTGCATATGTTTGTAAACCTTGTGATGAAAATCACCAAGATCAAGCATATTCTTTTGCTTGTCACCAGATTGTCAAATTTCCTTTATGTAGGGATGAGAGATGGCCTGTCCATATAGAGCAAGTACTGCAAGCTCTGTTTTTGTTGCAGTGCAATGGAGAGCCTTCCAGAGATTTTTCTCCATATGATTGAATTGAGAGCTCCCCTTGAAGTCACAAAGATGCACAAGAAACTTTATAAATTGAGGGAGATGGAGTATGAGCATAGCTGAGGCCTCACAATATGATTGGAATCAGTTGTTGGATGTGTCAGGAAATGTAAATGGGGTTCCAACATTTTCAAACCACCACCATCAAAATTTGTCATGGTGACCCTTCTTATCATCTTTGTGATTAAAAATTGCACCAGCAATTTGTGCTGTTTTAATAGCACCACAATTTGTTGTTTCAAGTGCACGGTCCTGAGCACGAGTTGCTGTATCACCTCAAGCAACCTGAATATCCCGCTCTCTGATAACAGGTGCATTGTCACGATTTGGGAGAAGCACTGGACCATCAAGGTGATTATGTTGAATCCACCAGTGAATGACTGCAGAATACCCACCA